TGCAACTCATGGAAATATATGCTAACATATTTATATGTACATATAAATGTCAATGTTTTTTTTTAAATTGTTACATTCTCTTTGTCATTTTTTAATTGTAAAAGCAACTTTTCTGATATTCGTATTTTCACAATATACAATAACATTCTAAAAACAACACCCTAATTATTTCACTATTAATGAGCTCATTAAAACTTGTGTACTAGATTAGACTTACCATGCCAGAACTATGGTTGACAATTATTGATACAATTGACTGGATAACACCTAGTGAATGGGATGATGGTCACTGAATGGGCAGTGATGGAGAATTTGACAGATATGTTGTTTTTGTAATTAGAAGTTTATAATGTGTCTGGTCAGGTATGCATGTACATATTACTTGGTCACTTGGACGTCACCATACATGCTTGATCCAGCAAAGGTGCAACATGGAAGTTGATTTTTATGGTGAGATTGCAACCTTCTTGCAGAGTGACCCAACCAAAAGACAATGGCCTAAAAGAGTACTGGTGAGTAATATTTATTTTTAAGGATTAGTTATGTAATTTACCCTAACCCAACTGCTGATTTGTACTAAAAAACAAACCTCTTTTATGTTTTAATTGATGTTTAAAATCCAGTATTTTTTTACCTTTTTAATGTTGATAAGATAATGTCAAACTATTGTTGATTGTTACAAAATGGTCAATCAATTTAAATTGACATATTAAAAAAACTTTATATAGAGATATAAGCCTTTTTCACAGTACAATGCAATAGCTAGGCTTCAATATTTCATTGATTTTGTAATCACATCTCATTTATTAATTATCACACTTTGCAAAATAATTGTAAGTAAAATCTTTTCACAGAAGTACATAACATTTCAGGAATCTGCGATCAATTTTCAATTTATAGTATTGAGCATAGATAGTATATACAGTATCAATTAGAAAGATATACTAAAAGGGTAGTTAAACATTTTATGGAGGTAGATAGGCATTTTATGACTGCAATATAAGATAAGAAATGTATTTTATGGCTTTACATGTACAGTATTGGGTAGATCGTTTTTGTTTATGGTGGTATATAGGTATTTAATGGTTACAGTATATATATAGGGTAGATGGGTATTTTATGGGGGTAGATGGGTATTTTATGGCTACAGTATAGGGTAGATGGTTATTTTATAGGGGTATATGGGTATTTAATGGCTACAGTATAGAGTAGATGGGTATTTTATGGGGGGGGGAAGATAGGTATTTAATGGCTACAGTATAGAGTAGATGAGTATTTTATTGGGGTAGATGGGTATTGAATGGTTACAGTATAGGGCAGATGGGTATTTTATGGGGGGTAGATAGGTATTTAATGGCTATGCAATAGGGTAGATGGTTATTTTATGGGGGGGGGGTTAGATAGGTATTTAATGGCTATGCTATAGGGTGGATGGTTATTTTATGGGGGGAGATGGGTATTTAATGGTTACAGTATAGGGTAGATGGGTATTTTATGGGGGTAGATAGATACTGTATGACTACAATACAGAGTAGATGAGTATTTCATGGGGGTAGATAGATACTATATGACTACAGTACAGAGTAGATGAGTATTTTATGGGGGTAGATAGATACTATATGACTACAGTATAGAGTAGATGAGTATTGTATGGGGGTAGATAGATACTATATGACTACAGTGCAGTATCATTATATTTATGTTTTGGAAGGAATGTAATGTCATATATATAATGTCTATTGTTGCCAGTGATATAGATACGAAATAGCCGATTCTATTTATTTGTAGCCTAAATAGATAGCACTTTACAGCAGCATTTCCTTTTTTCATAATCTCAAGTATTAAGGGCCATGCATACAGAGCTGGGAAATAATCCTACTTATGTTGGATACACCAGCCATGAAAATAAAAGCATAAATCATTTGGTTGACAATCCAATTTTCAGAATTATTGATATTTCACCATTAAAACTTGTTTTCATACTTAACGACCCTTTCCTCTATTTGTTATAATAAATGTTAACTAATTCATTTTACATAATAATTAAATCTTCAGAATGCAGAAGCTGTGACAAAGAATGTTCCACCACGACTGATGCGGCAGTGCCATGTGCATACGTACAGACAGCATGCACTTCAGCGTCTGATTTCTTCATCAACAACTCTTGAAGTGAAGATGAAAATATGTGACCTGCCCTTTTGTTCAACAAATGTTTTCAAAAAAGTGATAAAAATTACATTTATTATGACACTCCTGATGATGAATTAAGTTGGAAAGAGTAGGTTCAGCAAGGGTAAACATGACTCTGGAAATGTGAAATTAACACATACATTTACTATTGTTCACTAAAACATTCTTTATACATATCAAATATTTAATCAAGTACTTATACAAAGCAGACCATTTTGAAACCTTTTATAATTACATTAATGTATCAATTTGGTGTTAAACAAAAAATTAAAAAAATGCAACATCTTTCTTGAACCTATTCATTTTATTATGTTATATTTTGGATGATTTTGATGATGATTTGAGGAAGAGGAGGGTTATGAGGGTATAGGTGATGAAAAGGATGATAAAACTGGTGATATATTTATTATTTATTATGATGATTTGTTTCTGTTAAATCATGATTGTCATCCATGTTGTTTGTTGTGAAATAAATGTTAAAATGATGAGCATTTCTTTAATATGTTATCTATAATTGCTGTTGATACATGACTTGGATCCATGAAATATGTTGAAAGTTATACGTTGGTTACATGAAGCATATTAATTGAAATTAAAGCACTATCAAAAACAGTTATTGGTAAATCGTGTTGATACATGATTACAATGACCTCAACAATTAAATGAGAGTGTGTGTGCTGGAACCAGATTGTTTATCTTTTGGTCTGTCAATACCCCCATCCACAAAAGGAATCTCATGTAGAATAATTGTACAGTTTTAATATTTCTTCATAACGACTGATGCATATAAATACCTATCTCTATTCAAACACCAATAACCAATCTACCTTAAAATGTAGCAATAAAATAAAATAAAATAACCATCTACCATATACTGTAGCAATTAAATACCTATCTACCCCCCATAAAATAACCATCTACCCTATACTGAAGCCTTAAAATACCTATCTACCTCCATAAAATAACTATCTACCCTATAGCGTAGCCATAAAATACTCATTTACCCTAAACTATAGCAATAACATACTCATCTACCCTAAACTGTAGCGATAAAATACTCATCTACCCTATACCCTATACTTTAGCCATTAAATACCTATCTACCCCCTATAAAATAACCATCTACCCTATAATATAGCCATAAAATACTCATCTACCATATACTGTAGCCATAAAATACTCATCTACGTAATACTGTAGTCATAAAATACCTATCTACCCCCATAAAATAACCATCTAGGTTATACTGCAGTCATAAAATACCTATATACCCCCATAGAATAACCATCTAGGTTATACTGCAGTCATAAAATACCTATCTACCCCCATAAAATAACCATCTAGGTTATACTGCAGTCATAAAATAC